TTTCAGGACTTGTGTCCTGTCTGCAAGTGAAACCAGTCTTGCCACTGGTCCTAACTCTGACATGCTAGGAAAATAGGGAGAGAGGGCAGGATGGGAAATAGTTCTAAGTTACATTGGGACAGTAATAGATTGATACTGAACTAATGCCTAAAACCTCTAAACCCACTACATGAAACAACGTAGTGGTCTCAGCTCAGTTCCCAGTAGCCTGAGAGACAGATTAAATGAAATGCCAACACAGTGAGATTGCACTAGCACTCTTGTTGTGAGTCACAACAAGAAGAGATAATTTTTACACTCCCTTTGGAATGCCAATTTATGGATAGACAGGTAAGCTTGAAAGCCTATGTCTTTTAAGTATCACAAAACTCTTAGTGAAGCCAAATGATGGTTTGTTTACACATGGTATGCAAAAATAGTAAACATGCTCTGAAGTATTTTCATGTGAAAAATTGTTTGAATGTAGACCTGAGTGCTCATGATGTTCAAGACAGCCTGGCTTGCAGCAGTGAAATTGCATCTTTCTTAGAAATAAAACCAAGACACGCTGACAGGGTTTTGAAAATAACTGCAAACTAGGCAATTGGCCTGCAGCAGTGTGATTGCATGGTACATTCTCTATAGAGTAATGATAATAGTGAACCTGCAGAACACAGTATAATGTAAAAAAGTAAGCAGACCGTTCTCAGAAGGCTATTAAATCCTGTGAAAGTATATAGCAGTTCTGTTCTATGTGCTGTTGTAACTACTGTATCTTTAGGATATACATACAAATTTGAGCTACATTAGTTCTTCAGCCATGTCTCAGAGATCAAGGAGTACAAAATTAGACCATGAAAGTATTCTTTGGTTTAGACATCTGGAGAAGTTGGGCTGTGCTGTAAGCCCTGGAACACCTTTTGCTATCTCTAAAGCCATCTTCATCTCTCATCAGCAGAAATATTTACAGAGAAGTAGGGGAAGTTGCAAATTATTTTCTCACCATTTCGGCACTGCTCAGCTTCACAAAAACGGATCCCATCAGCAACATATATGAACGAGTGGACATGGGGAACGCCATTCTGCAATTTAGAGCAGACACGTAAGTAAAAGTGCAGCAAATAACATCTTGAAAACAGAAACTAAGAGAGTGACAAATGGCCCCAGCATAAACAAACTGAATGTGTTAGTATTTTAGATACCTCATGTACACGTTGCCATGGTGCTTCTTGAACGTAGGCTTTGACGTACGCCACTTGGGAAAATGTTGTCATGAAGTGTTTGCAGATATCTATAGCAAATTGTTCTAAACTTGGGATCTAAGACACAAGCAGTAATATTAGAAAGAAGCAATTACCTCATGTACAAAAGTGGGTTGTTCTAATTGTTGTGAATATTTGGGAAGGATCAATATTGTTAAAAAATACAGATTTCTTTCAATTCTGGGTTTGTGCACTGTGCCTAGTTGTTTGATCAGCTTGCAGCATATGCTGCAAATAGCAGCTACAGAATTACATCAAAAATCTCCCATTCTGTGGTATAGCAAGCTGCAGTCCTTGGACTGAAACTGCTACAGAAGCCTTACACTTTGAGGATATAATGCTGAAATAATCATAGCGATACTCTGATCAAGCTTTACAGGCTAAAGATGTGATTTCATTACTGAGGCAGAATTTGCACTACAGATTGTCGTTACGATAGACGCAATAGAGGGAGGTAAGAGCACAGTTAACAGAATTAAGAGGAGCCTCACATATTTTGAGACCTTCTGTTTAAAAGTGTATATAGGAATAATGTAGAACTATGTGCTATTGAATTAAAAAAACATGGATCTTGTATGACAAATCTACTGTACATACTGCTAGCTCTGTGAGAAAAAAAGGCTTTCAAAAACTAAGGGTAAGTCCACTGGAGGAGGTAAAAATTCTCTCCCAAATCACTGAAGATGACCTTAGTGCCGATCTAACATGCTGTTGGAGGGAGAGATTTTTTTGACATGTTTCGAAAATAAAAAGTAGAACAAACACTTCCAAATGAAGTCATAAGAAACAGCAAAGCTAGTTAAAAAATAAAAAATACCCCATTTTTTTTGGCCAGCACAAGGACAATATTCTTCATGGTGTCCGTAGGTATCACAAGAGAGTTGTTTCCATCCAGATACTCCTGAGAAGAAGTCAGCCGGACATGCGTGCACACTTCCACTTCTTTAATGAAGTTGTTCTTCCCTTCTCTATGAAGGCGAAGGAACTTAATTGTGTTCTTGCCATATTCGCAGTTGAGGATTTCTGCATCCTTGATCTGCGGAGAAAATATGTGACAGTTGTAAAGGAACTTAGTGGAAGCCTGAGTTATGCTCAGGGGAAGGAAAAATGCTTTAGGAAGATATTACTACATTAGTAGCAGCTGTGACAGAATTTTAACATTTTAGGGGGGCAGATCATATAACATGAGTAATAGTGAACTCCTCTCTCTCGTTCATCATGTTTGGGTTAGTCCTGACTACATAGACCTTCACAGAGTCTCCCCTCCATCATCTCTTTCTGAACCCAGGGTGTCCCAGTGCATTCAGTCTCTGCAGACGCAGCCATGGGGAGGGCAGGCAGTATTCACACCTGCGCCCTCCCCAGTCGCTCCACTGGGGCTGGCTCTGCCAGCCTGGGCTGCACCTCTCTAGGTACAACTCCCCATTTTCCCAGGCACCAAGAACAGACTTTCACCACCTCCTACTCATCTGGCTCCCAGCTCTCACAACCGCTGGCAGGCTCCACCTGTGCGATGAGCTGAGCCCTCTCCCTTCCCACACAGGAGCTGGCAAAATGCGGCTGGCATCCTGCATGGCAGAGACTCCATTGGCAGGCAGAGTCCAGCGGGCACTCTGTGTCCCCAGGGCTGTCCCCGTCACGTGCACAGGAGCGCGGGGACTTGCTGCTCCGAGGCCGAGTGGAAGCAGTGAGTATCAAAGCCATTCTTCCCCGAGCGGCAGGAAGGCTGCTTTCTAAGCAGGCAGAAGTCCCCAATGGAAAATGGAAACAGCTGTCATGTTCTTGGCATGTTCTGTGTTTTACTACCTGCTCTGTGCACATTGCGATTCCCGAGAGCAGGAAGAAAAGACAGGCAAAGCTGGACTGTTTGAAAGCATTTCCACACAACTGTGTTACAGTTCTGATCTCCCACAAAAGGGATCAGAAGCTAGCCTGAGCAGCAAATTCCAGGTCTTGATCCACACCTCCAAAACCCTAGATTTCTGGGATGGATGGTTTTGTTTGTGCTAAGCCCTCTTCAGTTTTATCCTGCTTCTGTCAAACACACCCACTTTACATATCTATTACAGTGTTGGAGAGGCTATACTAGAAAGGAGACAAAAAACTGCAAAGGTATTTCTGTTATGCTAAAGTATCCAGAGCTTGTTGCCCTGAGGCTTCAATATCCCATACTTGGTATCAACGTCTTTTAATATAAATCAGCACCTTTTAATGTAAGCATAATGAAGAGGGAAAAAGAATATTTTACACACCAAAATATAAATTAAAGCTTTTTATGTGTGAGTTGCTAAAAGATTATCAGTTGTAAAATTGCTCGATTCAGGCATGTTTGTTCCTGAGAGAAATGCCAATGCACTTAAAAGATAATTAAAAAAAACCCCAACTAATTGTAAGTATATTACTGTGGCTCAGAGATCAGAGCGTTTTCTCCGGCTGTCAATCCCCAAAGGCTCAATCCCCACAGACAAATGGAGTTGCCCACTGCCGGAGCCAGAACCGGCAGGGCTCAGTGCTTCACCTGAAACCCTCTTTACAGGAACGGTGCAAAGGTTGTGCTTGCCACAAGGGCTGGGTGGAGTAGTGAAGTGGAAATGATTTTGTTTTGCTTCCGTGAACACTGAGGTTTTTTTTCAGATAGTTGTAAAAAAATTCGTACTTTAGTCGTGCAGCACTAAAAAGAAAACGAAAAGGGTTTTGGTATCTGCATCTTTTTTTTTTTTTTAAAGTGGAATACCTTCAATATTTTAAATAGTCAAAACACTACCTTCTAAAATACTAAGGTAAGTTTTCTCAAAACCATAACTTGACAACTGTCATTTTGCCATTTTGTTGCTCAAAGAAATCCTGAGCTGTTTCCAGTGGCTCCAGAGAGTCCTGGCCCTGTTGCTGACGGCCATCCCCGCGGCGGAAGCCAAACTTCCCCGGCTGGCTCTGCTGGCCCGGCAGCCGCCCGCGGTGTGCGTACTGCCTCGTGCAGCAGGAGCTGATGGTTAATGCAACACAACTTCTCCTTTTAGAGCCTGCTCAGTGCTCGCCCTGTGCAGCTGGGAAACTAAAATGCCTGCAGGATCTGCATGGTGTCACCCTGCTTTGCTACTGCTTCTCTCCTCCGTGTCCCTGTGGGCAGCTGAGATTTCCTGCAGGAACGAAGATGGGGAGACAGTCGATTGGTAAGTAAATACCGCGCAGGGGAGAAACGCTGGGTGAGTAAATAACATTTGAGATTAAACCGTGTGAAGTAGGCGGATCACTGAGAAGTAATGCATAGCAATCACGGGTTTAGTCCTGTTTCCCTGTGAATAGTAGCTGAATTTTGCATTTGGAAAAACTAGGAAAAGTAAGATACTGAATTTTGATTTCATTTCACTGAACCAACCGCTCGAACCCGAAAAGCAGTGTGGTGGGACTTGTCCCCGAGGGGAGCGGAGGCCAAGCCGCCCCGGGAAGGATGCGGGAGAGGCGCGGGGCGGAGGCGGCAGCGAGGGAAAGCACCGTCAGCGCCTTCCGACCGAGGAGCAGGGGTTGCTCCCTGCCAGCGTGTTACAGCGGGTACCGCTGCCAGCAGTGAGCCCAGCTTTGGGTATTAAATGATTAATTGGATTAGCGCGCTTTGAAGATGAAAGACGCAAAGTATAATGACATAATATCCAACCCAGGTTTAAAAAATGAAACGAGGGCTTTTAAAAAAGAGCACAGAAGCCTTTCAGAGATTGGTACCAACTGATTTAAAAGGAAAGTGTCTTTCTCACAGAACAATGATTAGTTTGGGTACAAGATAAGTAAAGAAGTAGGTGCCATTCTTGCACATCCCTTCCCTTGCACACAGAGCCAGCTGCAGGGAGGGCAGGGGCTCCTCGCACCGCAGGCAGCCTGCTCAAGCAGGGGTGTAAAGCTGGCTTTGCTCTCTATTGGTGTAGCATCAAACAAATGAGAATCTGATCCATCCCTGTGACTTGTCACCCTTGCCACAGCCCTTCTGGATAATGTGATTTTTTTCAGGAATCAGACTCTTAGTGCAGCTACCCAACAACTTAAAGTTATAAGAAATTTCATTGATCTGCAAACTGCAATTATTCCTTACAGAATGAGCCTGTGCCAAAGCTAAAACCCCACCAGATCAAACCTCAAACAAGCAAACAAAACCCCAAACTAAACAAAAAAACCCCACCATTTACCATCCATTTCTTAAATGAATACAAGTTTTGTCTCTAAATTCTCTGAGAAATCCTTCGCAAGCTGTGACTAGGAGTAATTCACCTGTGCTGCCACACGTGTGAACAACAGCAACGTGAGAACCGTTCCAGACGGAAGTGGGCTGTTCTGCACACCGTGTTCTCTTCTGCCAAATTGAGCAGAGAGGACATGGTTGTTTTCCTTTCCAGTGTGCCATGATCAAATGAAAGAGAAACTTGCCTATCTTCAGGGGTCATCCTAGTTTATTGACAAGAAATAGTCAGCTTTTGCCTGATTCTGGATTTGGTTGCTATGAAGCTGATAGGAAAAGCAGAACTGAAACTGCTGAGAAAAACTTCCTCTTAACCAAAAAATGTTGATGCCCTTTCAAACAAACACAGCATTGCAGGTTTTATATTCAGTTAGCAAGAGCTTTATGTGAGTTCTTACATTTCAGTGGTTTCATCCTGCAATATTCTATAATTACTCATTATTAGCATTCACGTGCCCTTTCATTTGCCACTAAACTGGAGGAATCACTTGCTTTATCTGACCTGATCCCATCTGTGCTCCCCAGCCGTGCCTGCAGTTCCTACCCACAAGCAGTGCCTGGGCTGGCAAAAATCCCTCCTGTGTTTTCATTCCACTTGGGAGCTCATCCTGCCGTCTTCACTGTACGTTGTGCAGGGGCTACCAGAGCGAATGGCCATAGGATCAGCTCTCTAAGGAGGATTGAAACTCTTTCCTTTATTCATCCAACCTCACTGTATTCTGTGGGCAGCTTTTCATGTAAATAAAAGCCAAAACTCTGCTTTTTGAGAAGTGTTGAGTGAAGGACTGAAGCCATGAATGAACATTGTTTGGTTGGTTTTTTTCAGGCAGCAGGGGAAGAAGTAAAGATGTGGATTATTTGTAGTAAGTTTTTGCTCAGTCACAAGCAAACAATGTGACAATGCTAATCAGGTATAAGAGAATTTGCTTTTCCTTAGTTCTCAGGAAAATAACTTCCAGTCTGCTCCCACAAATGCCTGAGCTCTTGAGAAACCTCCTGTGCACAAATAGCAGTGAAGACTTTTATACAACTTTAATTGCTAATACACTTAGCTGGCTTTCTGGAAAGGGCCAAAACATGTAACCACTGGGAATTGGCAAGCAACTTGCTGATAGCTCAACTACTAGCATTTCTGTAAGCATACCTGCCACATGTGTTTGTCAGATGCAAGGCTGTGAACTTCCTGAGACCATAAATCTTCCAATACATTTCAAAGCAGTTTGGAAAGGTTTCATATGCTAATTCTTGGTTCAGCTTGTAGTACTGTAACTACTGCTATTCCTCTCCTTTCCAAATTTTCATTTCACATAAAGACATTGTTGTGACACCTCGTGCATGGACAGCTCTCCCCAGCCTTGCTGTATAAATCACTTCCTTCTCTATGATAAGCAACAATTTCTCCTGAGATATTTAAGGAACATTGCTCAGCCAGTGGCAATGCAGGTGGATTACCAGGATCATCAGTGGTGTGTGTTTCTCTTCTGTCTATACATGTATGTTTCCCACAGATTAAGTGTTCCTCTGGCAAAATGCTTTCCTGCCACTTCTTACCTGCTTTCAGAGATAATTTTTTTGACCAACATGAGGCTGTAAATCAACTGGCAAGGCTCACTCCTCATATACTGGAAGGGTTAAGCACAGTCAGGCTGCATTGTTGGTAAATAGTATAGGATTGAAAATAATGCCACTCAGTTCTTACTATTGACAGAAATAACAAATTACTCAAGTACAGTGCTCAAAGAAAGTGGCTCAATTAATTACATTGCAATTCATCCCATGGACTTGTGCACTGGGAAAACCTATTTACTTCGTCAGGGACATTAATATAAACTGAGCCATTTACTGACAACATTGAGTACTCTACAAGTTTCAAAAGATTGTGTTTCTGGCTAATGGTTTGCAAATATCTGGTCTGCAACAGTCCAGCAGAGTTAGGAAAAGTAGGATTGGAACAACATTATCACATGGCTTTATACTTACTTTGCAGTTTAAATAAGTATAAAAATATCATTATGCATTTTAATAATTTTAATACATAATTTTATATATTTCATATAAAGTTATATTTATATAATATAAAATACGTATTAGTAAGAGGTGTCCAGGTTGACCATGAGAATGTCATACTAAGTTTGGGACCTGAGGTTCTCGATGCCTAAGTGGGGCTCTAGATCAGGGCTACCTCAGACTCTCTTGGGGTACCAACAGGAGTCTGGTGCCAAATCAGCCTCCCTTGCTTGCTAAGAAGCAGAACAAATTTGTCTGCAGCAAGTACTGTGCTGCCACACTGCTCGTAGTCCCTGTGCTGGGTCACCTGCTCGAGGCTGATATTTCCACACCGTGCGCTGCCAGCGCTGGTCCCCCTTCAGCATAGGCATCCCTGGAGCCACCCTTCTCTTTAATCCTCAGGTGAGAAGGAGTTACTGATTTACATGTTCAAAAGGGATGGTTGTAAAGAAACAATTCTCTCCACTGTTTCAGGTTTGCTCTTTACAAGTTGCCGAAACATGCCAAAGGAGAGATTCCTGTGCTGGGGCTGGAATACATGTACATGGACGCCCTGGCTTCAGAGTGGCAGCTTGGGAAATACCTCATCAACATGACACAGGGTGCTCTGGGACAAACACTGAAGCAGCTGTATGAAACATATGAATCTGAGGCAAGTGACATTTAATTACCATTTTGTTAGTATGCTTACTTGGATATTACATGCAAATGAAATTAAACCAGCCAAAATAGCCATGTAGAGTTATGGCTGGACCTGACCGACTGGATCTACTAAAACACTTTAAGGGGAGTGTCTTAACAGCTGGGCAGATTGTTTGCAGTTTTGGCTACAATTAGAAATTATCTTCGAACTTCTCATTTCTAGTCAAGCCTTTCCAACACTTAAAGTATTGCCCATCCAAAAAATGAGCGTTGGTACATAGTTCCTTTGGCTTCTTCTCTGCAATTCATGTTGAGCAACATCTGAAGCTGTGAACTGGCTGTGAACTCAGACCAGAGCCTGTGTTGACTACTACAAACACTCATCCGAAGCCCTCCCATGTGCATGTGTTTCACGTTCTGTCTCAAACCAAATCTGGTTTTTGCTTTTCCCCTTGAAATCACTGTGACTGCCTCAGCAGTGATACGCTTGTTTGTTAGGCCTTCCTCCCTGCTCCAAGTCAGACATCTCATTTATATTTGTGTGAAGCAATTATAAAATACCACAAGATCTGTCTATAGTTATTTTTTTACCATATAAATAGTATTCTTGGGAGTCTGGGTGTGTCTTTGCATTTCTGCTGTGGGTTAGTGATAGGCGGTCATTAACTTATATGTAAAAGAGATTCACAGAAGTCAGTCAAATATTGGCAATCCAGTCAGCTGTCCTACTCCAGGTCTTGCTGTAATTGTAATAAACTGTTTACAGCTTAAAGTACATCAGGAGGGAAAACAACTCCTTTGAAAGTTCTCTATTCAGGAGGAATAAGATACGGCCATATGCAAATATTTTACAAAAAAAAACCCCAAGCATTAATTGCTTGTCTTTCGTAAGAGCATTTATCATGTCTGTTTTTCCTCACCAAATATTTCACCAGATCTGGTTGCTAAATGAGAGGGACAAAAAAAAGAGAGTGGAACTTCTTTGCAAGTGAGTGTGCAATAAACCCATGTAAATTGTCATAGTGAGCATATTCGACCTCTTGAGGAAGGGCTACTGCAGTGATTGAGAGAACTTCCACTTTATGTTAACTGTGATCTTAATGCTGAGTCTTCAGGTTTATTTTGCTGTAACTTCTGTGGAGAATCTATCAGCTGAATTGGGAGAAGGATGAAGTTCATGATGCTCAGACAGAGAAGTCCTGAATTCTTTCTCCTGTTTCCAGCACTAGATGTTCGCTCAAATGCCTTCCTTTCACTGAATGTCTTGTTTCAAAAATGTGTATTTTCCTGCAGAGGAACAGCGTTGCATATGCAATATACAACGATGAGGTCCCTGAATCAGACTCTGATGGGTGGAAAAGAGGACATACCAAAGGTACAGGGAGAGTCCCAAGCTACTATTTTCTCTTTTCTACAGTTGTGGATAACATCTACTCATCTACCTATCTGCACATCTAAAATTCCTGCCTAAAGCAAAACTGGAGAATGATTTGCAAGATGCGTGGTTTGCTGCATAGTTATCTATGCTACAGCTTCTGTTTTGGTTTTGCTATGCCTGTGCTGTGTTGAAGAATTCTTAGGGCTTATGGACCCTTTGTTTTCAAGAGTTGAAACCCATGTAGCTCCTTTCAGTGAGTACACACTACATTGTCCTGAGCCTAATGGCAACAGCAATAAAAGATGTAAAGGGAGAGGTGTTCTAAACATAGACTTGTCCAAACTCTCTCTCTCTCTGGGGCAAGGAACTGCTGCCAATATCATGGAAGTGCTGAAGCAGGCAGTTAGAATAACGCAAGACTTTAAATAAGCATAAACTTCAGTGGAGGTCTAAATGTTCCCTTGAGGAAGCAGATGGGGTTTGACCAGCCTGGCTCTGGGATGAAGATATTTTGCAGGTCTGTATTGCCAGGCTGCAATGGGGACAGCTCAGGAGCTGTGCTCCTCCCCAGAGCACCCTGCTGCAGGGGGAAGCATAGCCCAGCTCCCTGCTGCTTCCCCACGGAGGAGAAATTGCTCTGGGGAAGAAGACACGATGTTGGCAGAGTCTGTTTCCCCTTATGCAGTGAATATTTGAAGGGAAGGAAAATAAGCAATGGAGAGAAGGTTAGAGCCACTAAATCACCAGACTTTTTGAAGACAAAATTTGAGCAGAGAAAGAAAAAAGGTTTGAAAAGATTTTTTTTCAAAAGAAACATGATGACATTTAGAGTTAGGCTATGCAGGGGAGAATTAATGCAATTTTAATACAATATTAGTGTCTCCTATAACCCATCAATCTACTCTAGAGCCAGTTTACTGTAGATATTAACACATTTAAGTGTGGTGTCTGCAGCAGCAAATCCAAAGTAGAACACAGCTCTATCGTCTCAGTGCTTTCCCCCCCTTAATTCATTTGCAATAACTTTTTTTTTTTTTCCCCAGGATTTCTGCTCTCGGACAAATCACAAGGCTTCTGGGTGATTCACAGTGTGCCACTGTTCCCTCCCGTGCCTGAGGATGGTTATGAATATCCAGCTACTGGGGAGTCCTATGGACAGACAGCCATCTGTATAACCTTCAAATATGACCAGTTCACAGAAATAGGTATGAAAAGCTTCTCCCTAAGAAAGCCTTTGCCCCACCGCACCTCTCTGTCTGCTTTCCTTGAGGTTTCACCTCAAAAATTGCTTGTTCTTGTCCTTCATTGTCAGATTGAGAAACCAAGTGGGACCTGAAGTCCCTGTTCCTAGCTTCATTTATATTTATCCAACGATTTCCTGTGTGAATGTGGGAAATTCACTCTTCCACTCTGTCTCCATCTCCCCTGGGGAATATTGAGATAATAACAGTCACGAGTGCATATCAAGAGTAAAATCAGTCCATGTGTACAAAATGCTTCGGAAATATCAAATAGGATGATTAATTATTTTTAACAGTAATAGCTCATTCAGTTGCAATTGTCTGCAGTCCTTAAAATGTAAGGCAACCACTGCTTAAGCTGGAGTAGTAGCTTTAACACATCAGAAATACGAAGTATGGAATAAATATCACCCAGAATTTCCCCCAGTACTTTTTGCCACAAAAAATGCCAATACTAAAAATAAAAAAAACCCAACCAACCTATACCCGTAAGATTCAAGACAATCTGACAGTGATGTCTAGTACTGAAATCCTGAAAAGAGACTGTCAAAGGTGTTACAAGAAGTCATATTGGTATGCTCCTTAATGTTTTTCACACTGTTTTCCACTCCTTTCTCAGTTACAAATCTCAAAAGATATTAACGAAACACACACGCTGTGCAAATGGCCAGGTTGGCCACACCCAGAGCTATCTAAACCAAGTTCCTGTTTGTGGAAGCACATCTATGCATGTGTTTAGGGAAAGAGGACAAGAAAATGAGATGCATACACTAATGCTTTTCCTGCTCCATTCTCCTAGCTTCTGGTAACCTGTGGTTCAGGGATTTCCTGGGTGGGAAAGACTGGAAAGTTCCTGATGAACTGGTCGTCTGTGAACTCATCTGATGAGCCCATTTGTTCTCTTGCTCTTTACGATATTTGCGGCAAGGACTTCTACAGTTAAACTGCACGCTCTACAAAAAAGTTCTGCAAATTCAATCCAGACACTGAAAGTCAAGCTATGTTCTCCCTAAGACCAAACTAGACCCTTTGGCAGCTCTTCTGTTTGCATTTGGCTTGGCAACTGTAACTGACTGGAAACTACTCCTGTAGTAGTTTCCAAGTAGTATTTACAAGCCTGTAAATACAGACAGGCTTTTTTTTTTACATATTTACACATGCCATCTGAGCCCTGTGTGACTGCTTAGAGGCTTGAAGATGAGCATGGGTGGAAGTGGCAGTGGACTGAGACCAGTGGTTAACAGTTCTGCTAAGAATAATGAGATGTAAGTGGAAAAACCCAAGCATACTCTCCCAGCCAGTCTGTGTGCTGCAGGCCCAGTCTGAATACAAAGCAATTAAACATGTCTTTGGTTGCTAAAATAAGATACTTCAACACTGAATTCCTCCAGGAATAGGCTGTGAAGATTAGCAAGGATTTAGGTTTCCTTTCCAAGACAGAACTTTACTCTCTTGATTGCTTCGCTTTAACCAGTTTTAATTCTGCATGTGTTCATTTCTTCGAGTTTTTCTCAGACCAACAGATGCTGAGTTATAATCCGGGAATCTACAGCTGTTCCATCCCCAACATCTTCCAAGCTGATCTCCCAAATCTGCAGAAGCTCTGTGCAGGGTCCAGGCTGCCCCCGGTCCCTTTGCGCCACCTTTCCAAACTGCAGTCAGCTCGCGGAGAAACTTTTCTCCACTTTGCAAAGTCACACTTTTTCATAGATGGTAAGAGAACCTGTTGCTATCTATCACACGTTCTCAAGCAAGTAATAAAGGACTAATATATTCTTTCACGATTATTATTTTTTTTGAGGGGAAAAAAGAAGTTCAGCTTCAGAAATAAATGTAACAGAGGGTAGGCATAATATTCTCTCAGACCCACAAAACAAAAAACTGTCTGGTCCTTCAAACACCTTCTGAAAATGTTCAATAATGGGATTTCAGAGAATTTATTTCCTGCAATTCAACAGTAACAACGAAGAACAAAAATGGTATTGAATCATCTACTTTTTTTTGTTATGAAGAAGGCATGAAATTTTTTTTCCTTTCCTTTTTTTCCTGCCGACTGTAAGAGTTTTTCCAGGAGAAAGAGGAAAAGTAGAAATGAATTTCTCAAACAAAAGTCAAAATGAGGAGAGGAGGCAAAATCTCTTCTGCCTCACTTTATGCATTGGAACAAAACGAGCCCAGTTTAGGTGATGCTTTTCAGATCCCCCCTAAACCAACGAACATGAAAGTCTAATTTCTCACACCCTGTGTTATTCCACAGATATCTATGTGGCCTGGGTGGCTCAGGAACTGAAGACCGATTTGTTGGCTGAATCCTGGCAGCATTCCGGCCAAAAACTTCCCTCAAATTGCTCTCTTGACTACCACGTCTACAACATAAACCTAATAGGGACACCATTGAATTCCACCTTTTATTCCATTAACGATCATTCCAAATGGGCTGTTTCAAGGGAATACAAAGATCAGTGGACCTGCATTGGAGACTTAAACCGCGCTGCTGAGCAAGCTTGGAGAAGTGGTGGGTTCATCTGTACACAGAACAGACACATCTACAATGCCTTCAGGCATTTGATAATCCACTACGAAAGTTGCGCTGATGCTTCCACATTGATATAACAAACTTTTAATCTCACACAGCACAGCCCCTCATTACACAGAAAGCATAGGAGACGTCTCCCCTAAACTATATCTTCACTCTGAAAATTGGCCCTGTGAGTCGCCAGAGGTGCTACACCTTCACCTCATTAGCTGTAAAAGCAGGTGGTTTGCAGGTAAATTATGGCTGTTTTCCTCTGGGTGCGGGACCAGCAGGCTGTGTGTGTGCTGAGCCATGCTCCTCTCGCTCCGTGGCTCTTGGCCGAGACACTGCTGCACGAGGCTGCACCAAAGCACGTCGCTGCGAGCGACTGTGCACAGGTGTCCCCAGGGGATCTTATGAGTGATGCTGGACATGGGATGGGAGGAACAACAGATATCTGTCTCATTAGCTAGGTTGTTGGGGCTGGGTGGTTAGCATGAGAAAAATACCCCAAAATGCTTCAAAATTTCCCCGTGTTCCAAGTGCTGTTCAGATTGATCACAGCATTTCCGCTCAATTTGGGCCGAATCTCTTAAAGAGCTGACATAACTGGATACAGACAGGAAGACAAGTAGGTCTGTGGACAGGAAGGCTTCATTTTTGCATGATTAATTTTTAGAGAAGAAATGAGCTTCAAATCATTTGTAACCAATGGCTTGGGAGTATTTCTAGTGCTTTTATTCATGTACAGCAATCTTAGAAACAAATAAACATGTCCAAACTATGAATAAACAAAATAAATTAAGAGCAAAAACGATCTGTTTACAGTCTCCCTCTTCCATCTTTATAGTTATTAGTGGTTGGTTACAATGTTTTATAGCTGCCATAGGAAAAATGGAGACAATTAGGAAAAAAAAATAAACAGAAAAGAGAAGAAAATATTTGAGGGAAGGTGTTATTTACCTACATTTTCACACTACAACAAACATGGCTGTTAATTTTCAATACCTCCAGTCTCAGGCTTAGGATTTGAAGTTTGCATGGGCTTGCTATAAAGGCACAGCTAAATTGCAAAATCTTGATACGCTCTTGGGCTCAGATTTCAAAAGTGTTATCTGTCTTTAATATGTTCCTAAATATATTTATAGGGTTATATCTCTCTAGATTTTTTTTTTGCCTAAGTTGCTAATATAAACTCCAGTCTGAAGAGTTGGCTGTCCTGATAATATTTCTGTTTTGCTGTGTTCATAGTCCATACCACTGATTCTCCACAACAGTGTCTTAAAAGTAGGTATAAAGAAATGCCCCACAACCACAAGAAGTTGTCGAAGATTTCCTTCCCTTTTCACCCTGAAAAACCAACCAAATCACAAAGTATGCAACATACCAAACAAATTAATTTCAGAAAACACTTGTGCATGCTTCTTGAAGAAATAAAAATGATGTGTGTAGCCTGCTTAATAAGGAGAATTGTCCAGGAATAGATTTTTATATTTAGTCTCATGACTCAGTGAAGATAATGTAGATATAGTTTAGATAGTTCTGCACAAAACAGGACTTTTTCTTTTCCCTGTTTATGACCAAATAACATTTGATAAATAATTTGCTTGATAATGTTTTCTCTCTGATGCTTGTCAAATTGTTTTACATATCTACTTTTCATTGTTTTACGAGCTGTGGTCAACACCTATTTGCGGCAGTGAAAATTGCCCAGGACACACAACACTGAGCAGTGGGATGGCAGAGCATTATCAGATAAGCCAAGATAAGATTAATTTCTCTTGTCCACCTTTTCATGGCAGACACTAACCTAACTAACCTGTCTGAACACTTACATCTTGCCCACAACTTTACATACACATGACTTCAGTGTACAAGAACAGCGAGAAATTCTTCACTGGAGACACGGCTAGTGAGCTTCACTGCGGTGCATCAGAGGGCACCTGACCTATGACACAACCTGTATTTCTTATGGTAGGCTCTCAGCCGTATCATTTGGGCCATGGAATTCAATAGCAGAGTCTCCATCCACCAGCTGTCACAACAGTGTTGCCACAGCCCGGCTCCCCAGGCTAAAAGTCAACTCTCCACCGCTTGACTTTAAGAGCTAATTGTTATTCTTAATTATTTGATCAATTGATAGCTGTCATAAAGCTTCACAAGACTACTTACAACATTCCTCTTTCATTATACCCAAGATTATTAGCCTCCATTTTAGTCGTTACTGAAGAGGCATAAAAAGCAGTGGGAAGATGGAGAGAAACAGTTGTACCATACAACATTACAAGCACCTAAATAGCTGGGTTGTACACATACTCATTTCAGTGGTGTAGCAATAAAAAGGCTGCAGTTCTGGTTCACTCATTTTTTGACTGTAAACAGTTTTAATTCAGTTTTGCTTTCATTGTGTAAATTCCATATTTGCATATCTTAGTATTTCTACTACACACATGATGAAACACAGGCAGACAGTTTGTTTCCTGAAAGAGACTGATAACAAGATAAACCGTAAAGATTTTTAAAGGGTTTGTAACTTTCAGGCTTTCTGTACAAACGCAAGACCGTCTGCCACTTACTCAACCTCATATGCCCTCACAGCATGCACTGTGATCAATCGTTGGTGTGAAGTATTTATTTTTGCAAATTTTATATGTATATTCACAGAGGTTTTGATTTAAAAATGTGCTGTTCTTTTTCAAAATGCCAAATGCTCAACAAATACCTGCCTGTCCCAGTGACTCTGTGCTGCCTTTGCTGCCCACTGTGACCCTGTGGACTGGACAGACTGTCTCCTGAGGAAGGGGACATCTGGCACTGCTCCCTCTGCAGTTTCAGGGGGACCTGCCCAGCAAAGCTGCTCCTGCAGAAGGGCAGAAGTCTCGGACTCTGGCATGGAAGGGGAGAAAGCTGGTCTCTCATCTGGAAACCCAGAGTTTCTTCTCATCGCATGCAGGTATGGCTATTCTGACCCCTGGGCTCTGTTCTAGTTAGACTAAATGGGAACATTTATTATACATGAAAATTGTTTGCCGAGGGAGTAGGAGAGGTCAAAAGCAACCATTATTAATCTACTAAACATTACTGTACTGCAGCCAAGTTTGTAACAAACACAACAGTAGGGATTGTTGTTTGGTATAAATTGCCTTGTAATCATTTCTACAAGCTGAGACTCGGTCCCAGCACACCTGACAAGCTCACAAGGGGCAGGAAATGCAAATACAGCCTCTCGAAATACACACCTGCCACTTGCTCACCCACCAGTATGTCTCCTACCCTCACACAGCCACTACCATCCCAGAACAAGGGCACAACTCTGTCTCCCTGTCACTGCTCAAAAAAAAAAAAAACCACTGATGATTTTTCTATAAACCCCTGTATCCCCGTGGATGCTTCTATAACACCAGTAATTGAGGATTGTAGTGATTTGCTGTGTTGGAAGAGTACAATTTTGCACAGATTTAATGCAAGAAGTCAAAGGATTAGACGTTAGCCTCACTAGGAGAAAAGCTGAAAAAAATATTTGAAGGCATAAAAACTTAAACTGTGTGAAATTTAATTCCAGCTAGGCAATTACAATACTGGAAAACAGACACAGGCATTGCAGTCTGAGCCCACTTCACTGGGCAGCCCTTATGGTGCGATTGCTTCTGGTGTTGACAATATGTGAAAATATACTGAGCCCTCATGATGGGAGTGATGAGCAATGTCTTGGAGAATTTCTCCAGGGTACTTGGGGCTCCATACTAGCTGTCTTCCGCAATGCAAGGGAAGCTTTGGGAGATATTCTCTGAATAATCTGGGAACCTTCCCTTCTCCAAGGCATGCTAACTTAGCCTGGCACTTGGACTTGTCATGGCAGTTTGCAGGTATATTTCTGAACAACAGCAAAGCCTGCTTGTCAGTGTGCTAGATTGCACTTTTAAAAAGTACAGAAGTCCTGCAAAGCCCAGGAGGTTTTGATCATTTTGCTGTCAGTAATGTCTGCTCTTTCAGCTCTCCTTGGAAACCACGCATGCTGCTCCCCTCTCAGCATGCTCTGTGCAGTTTTCTACTCTCAAAACAGGAAGTTTCCAGCAAACATATCTAAAGAGCCTGTGCCAAACAAGGCTTCCTCAGCTTGCCTGCAGTGTGAAGGGAGAGGGTTATTTTTGCGAAGACATATGGGCCTCTCTCATCCCTCTTTTCTGTTTAAATATATACACTCCTGACAATAATGAAATGCTCAAGAACATCATTGTGAGAATTTGTTTTAATGTATCAAAGTATCCTTGGCGTTATTAGCACAGTCACATAATTATCCTCAGAGAAATTTCCACCCATATGTTAACGCCCATAAATTATTGTGTGGAACTCCTTTATACCTGTATTTTCAACTTCTGGGAAAGATACATCATTGGGCACTTAGTATAGTAATTGCTTCAGAACCTACAAGCTGCCTATGCCCTAGGTAAAATGTTCAGGAAACAAAGTAGTGCTGCCAGTGTCTTCTGAAAGCTCGATGTAAGCCAAAGCCTAACTGTGCTCAGAATGTGATGCAAGAATATGATGCAACTCTCTTATTTCACAAGAGATTTCTTAAAAAGGCAGGAATTTAAACATTAGAATGGAGATGAATAGAAATTAATGTTGGGCAAAGTGTGTAGAAAAAAACCCAACAACTTGTAGCAGGGAATAAATTCTTCGTAGTACAAGGCAGAGAGCCTAATCTGAAATTTCAAGCTAAGATATCGATATCAGTGTATTCTAGATACCCTGATACCCTGCGTAGCTTAGCCATATCTGACATTTTTCTATTTAGATTGGAGATACCAGATTAAAGGCCTAATCTGAATTTTCTCATAATCCTTATGAACTTGACATGAATGCAGTAAAAGAAGCTGCATATGAACTCAGAAATCAGTTGTAGTACTTTCAGATCTTGGCCTCAGACAGGAGCTAGCTCATAATATATTTTTTTAATGCAGGCCCATTGTATGCTTATCTTTATGGTTTTTAACTGATATATCTCAGTATTAAGAGTATGTTATTCTATGCATATTTGATATGTTCATTTTACTCAAACTGTTAAATACAAAATATTAGGACTTGAGAAAATATA